ATTCCCTCAGAGTTTGTTCAAGTCCACAAACCTCTGTCTGTGACAGAGCCCCTCAGACATGGCTGCTCTAGTCACTAGCAGATTCCGACAGTGGTTGCTTTCGTAATCGCTTCCAACATAAAAGCTCCTTAACGGAAACACGTCTTCTGGAATCTCTGCGTGACAGTTTCCGGCGAGGAGTGGGTGTTCTTACAGGAGGTTCTGAAACCTCCCCACTGTTTTCGCTGGAAGTGTCTCTGAGCCATCCCTCCAGCTCAGCTCCCCCCCCCTACTGGTTCCTTCTTCAGCTGCTGCGTCTCTCCCAACCTGTGTGAGCCCTTTCACCTCCCTGTTGTTTCCCTCTTCAGCTGCTGCGTCTCTCCCAACCTGTGTGAGCCCTTTCACCTCCCTTCCGTCCGATGGCAGTTCCCTGACATCCACCTCCCCTCCAGGGCCCCCTTCACCCCCTCTCCCCCCCCTCCTCTACGGGCGGTGAGGAGGCACAACCCCGGCCTGAACTTCCTGCATCTTCCGATGTCGCGAACACTTCGCTCAACCTGTTGCGGTTCCTGGTCTCGAAGTACACCTCCTCCTCAGAGTCTATCTCCCTTCCCCTTCCGAGTCCGGGAATCCTTCCAACTCCTCCCCTTCATCAGTGGTCCCAAAGTATTCCCTCCGGAACCTCTCCACAGGCTGAGGTTTCCTTGGGAACCTTTGATGGAACGTTTCTATCAATACCTCGTCATTGATATCTTCAGCCATTACCCAAGTGTTTTCTGACTCCGGTTCTCCTTCCCACGCTACCAAATACTCCACCTGATCCCCCTTCCACCTGGCGTCGAGGATTTCAGCCACATGGCTGCTGCATTCTCTTTCTTCTACGACCGGTCCCCGAGTGGCCAGCCCTTCTCGTCCCCCTTCGTACGGTGACAGTAACGACCTGTGAAATACTGGGTGCAGTTTCATGTGGTTGGGTAACCGGAGCCTGAAAGCCACTGGGTTGACCTGTTGAATGACCTCAAAGGGACCCAACCTCCTGGGTCTTAATTTCTTACAACCTCCTTTGAGCGGCAGCCCTTGGGTTGACAACCACACCCTATCTCCCACCCTTATGGTTTCACCTTCCCTTCGGTTCTTGTCTGCCTGCCTCTTGTATTCTTCCTTCGCCCTTTCTAAGTTGAGTTGGAGCTGACGATGGATTGCTTCCATTTCTTCCACAAAATGTTCGGCTGCCGGGACGCTCCATCTCTCCCCCTCTCCCCTGGGAAAGCCCTGGGATGACACCCATAATTAGCCAAGAAGGGGCTCATCCCTGTGGACACATTCTCGGCATTGTTGTAGGCAAATTCCGCCAGCGCCAACTTTTCTACCCAGTCATTCTCTCTGTCATTGACATAACACCTCAGGTATTGCTGGAGGACACCGTTTGCTCTTTCCGCCTGCCCGTTGGTTTCAGGGTGCCGGGCAGTCGAAAAATTGACCTCCACCTGCAGTAAGCTCATGAGCTTCCTCCAGAACCTGGAAGTAAATTGTTTTCCTCGGTCTGAGACCACCCTCAATGGCACCCCGTGCAACCTAAAAATGTTTTCTACAAATAACTTCGCTGTCTCTTCCGCCGTGACTGCATGCGAGCAAGCTACAAAGTGGCACATCTTTGTTAGTAGGTCTACCACCACCATGATGGCTGTTTTCCCTTTGGACTTCGGCAGATCAGTCATAAAATCTATCGACACTGCCTCCCAAGGTCGTTCTGGGGTTGGTAAGGGTTCTAATAGCCCCGCCGGCGCCCGCCTTTCCCCTTTGGCTCGCTGGCATTGCTCGCACCCTCTTACATACTCACGTACATCTTCCCTCACCTTAGGCCACCAAAATTCCCTGGTGACCAACCACATGGTTTTGTGTTGTCCAAAATGCCCCGCCGTAGGGCTGTCGTGCAACTGCTTGAGTACCCTCCCCTTTAACTCTCCTTCAGGGATATACAGTGCCCCTTTGTATTACAAAGCTCCATTTCTTTCCTCGAAACCTCCTGGTTCCTCTCCATCACCCCTAAGACCTCTGAGCTTATTCTGGGCGTATTCATCATTCTCTGTTTCCTCTACCAGTTCTCTTTGTCCCACCAATGCCGCCCCACAGACCCAGCGGTTTTCTGGAATGACATGTCTCTCTTCGGGTGCCCCTCCCCTCCAAATATTCAGGTTTGCGTGAGAGAGCGTCCGCCCTAATGTTCTCTGGGCCTGGCACGTAACTAATCTCAAAGTTAAATTTGGAGAACTCCTGGGCCCATCTCACTTGCCGTTGGTTGAGCACTCGTGCCGTCCTCCAATACTCTAGGTTCTTGTGGTCGGTGCACACTTGCACCTTATGTTGTGCGCCAATTAGCAGGTGCCTCCATCTCCGGAACGCCTCATAAACGGCTAGTAGTTCTCGGTCATACACCGTGTAGTTCCTCTCGGATTTGTTCAGCTTTCGCGAAAAAAAAGGCACACGGTCTCCACTCTGACCCCTTCTTGCCTGGCTGCAGAAGCACCGCCCCAATCGCTCTGTCTGATGCGTCAGTTTCCACTCTCATCGGTTTTTGTAAATCCACATGCAGGAGTTGTTGTTCCGAGGCGAAGGCCCTTTTAGTTCCTCAAATGCTCGCTCCGCCTCCTCAGTCCACACGAACTTCTTCTTACTGCTGAGACAGTCCGTAATGGGCGCCGTCAGGTGGGCAAAGTTTCGGATGAACTTACGATAGAAGTTCCCAAATCCTAGGAACCTCTGCACATCCTTCTTTGT